TGGTTGTTGAGGTAATATCGGAAAAAGATAATTGACTTGAGCCACTAGAAGAACCCAGAGAAGAACCAGAAGATCTTCGAGAAAAATTGGACGTAGATACGGATGGGCCAGCAAATTGTTCAGATATTAATGGTGCCACAGAACCCGTCTCAGTTATTTGGTCCAACTGGTCACAAAAGGATTCATAATTGGTGGTGATTTCATTAACGGTTTCAATTACAGTATTTACCATTGTCATAATTCTTTGTCCCTCGACAACAAATGTGGCATCTCGTGTTGTAAGATCCGCAGTTAATCTTTCCACATATGCATTGAATTCCGTGGTAAGTTGTTGTTTGAGGATATACATAGCGAAGCATGTGGCAACGGAAATCAGATAAACAGGAATTTTCTCGGCAAACATCAATATGCACACAAAGGCCAAAAATGGGACAACTTCTGAAATATTAATCGAAGATATATCTATAGTGGGAAAAAAGATTATTAGTAAAGATACACGAGCATGGATAATAACCTAGCAAATATGCAACTCGAAATCAACCTTAATTCGTGTGAAACAGATGAAATAAATGAGGTTTATTTTGTTGTTTTTACTATTATGCCTAGAAATTATTTTTATTATCTTGGCAAAGTTAAGGTACAAGATGTGAAAGTTTATTAAATATTTTATTTTTATTTTTACAGATAACTAATAAGAGCGTAGAAGGATTGACTAAAGATTTTTGGATCCTTTTTATATAAGATTTCACAACCTAGACACGTAAGTGACATTGCTTTGCAATAAATCTGATTCAATCTCTTTGTTGGTAAAGGCCAGAACATACTAGAAAAAATATTAATTACGTTATTATCGCAATATGGGCATAAATTTTGAGAATGAAGGCCTGGATCTAAAGACTTAATAATACACGGTCTGGATAACTTAAATCAAGGTAAGTGTTATTTATGAAATCTAGTAGATATGATAAATTATTACAATTATAATGATAACTGTCACATCAAGACCCCCTGATTAATATACACGATATCTAGAACCTGACTTGTATAATATTACTCGATTTTGGTTAGACATCAGATTTAATTTTGCTAGTCTAATTATATTTAGAGGTAAAATCACATATCATCGATCATTAACAAATTTATTCCATTTTATTAGTAGAAGTAGCAAAGCTAACATACCATTCCTTATATTATAGAAACTTCAGCCAAGTACTATGTATATGCTACTTAGAATATGCTAGAAAGTTTGATCAAAAACATGATAAGTTCAACACGGGTATTATTTTATGGCGATCTATTTATTCATCCAATACACGCATAATGTCGCTACCACATGTGATTTAATAGATCGTGACCCAGACTAAGATTTGTTCATATGTTGAACCTTGTCTGACATCGTGCAAAAAATTTGATTTACCGTTATATATTAATTACACAAATCTAATATAGTATCATTTATTTCGTCCAGCATTTGCATGATTTTTCGTCGATATATGAAGATCTAGAGCCGGGTATCGAAAGAGATGCACGTAGGATAGTTATTTCTACGATCTCTTGGCAAGATCTTAATAACACACGAGATCTGAATAACCGAATTATACTCTCCCAACCGAAAAAAAGTCAAACCGAGATACCAGAAAGATCTTGTGATAAGAGGCAGGGAAACGTAGGTAAGTAATTATTTAACATGGGCTAGTACGTTTGTGTTAATCTTTTTCATTGTGTTATGTTGTTAAAAATCGCTAATTATAATCACTACTTCTTTACAGATTTGTCACATGCCAGACGTGGGTTGAAAGCAGAAGATCCACTACCCGATGGGGTATAATTCAATACTTATATAGCAAAAATAATTATATAGATTTAGCAGTTTTAAATACATTCCAGAATCATAACGATCCATCTTATGCCTCATTGCAATCCTGCTGAGGAAAGCGAGATGTTGTGAAGTTGAATTTTGACCACCATGAACTCTAGAAGCATGTTTACCTCTGATTTTTCTTAATCTTTTAGCTATAATACCATATGGCTTTAAAAATTTACTAAATACACCTGTACTACGTTTTCCATTAATACTATAGACAGGATCACGCAACTTTCCAATCGTTATTGCATTTTGAATCCAGGTAAGCAATTCTTTTGCACGTTTTGGATTCTTTTCTATGAATAGAAATTGCCGAGGTTTAGGATTATTTTTTGCTTCTCCTTTATTTTTAATATACCCGATACAATACCAAGAATAACCAGGCTTGTACCATTTAG